AATACTAAAGGTTACTCAAATATCATTTATAATTTTTGCTGCTCTTACTCCCACTTGTAGAAATCAACAAGTATGTGATTTATAATTAAATTACCTTTGGATAATTTTCGCGTTAAATTTAGTTACCCTGGGTTTAAAAGTTAACTTATCATCCAGGAGAATAAAGTTCACTCAAATAGTGATCTCAAAATTAACTTAATATCTCGTTACAATCAGGTTTCATCATAAATAATTTAAAGTACTTTTCGACTGCTAGAAATACTAAAGGCTTTGTTTTCATATCTATTGGCCCGATATTTATTATATTGCAAGGAAAAAGAGTATTTGACAATTTACTAATAGTATGTAGAGCAAGAAATGTATGCTATAATAAAGAGGAACGAATCTAGGGTAAAAATAAACAAGATAACTTTGGGTGACCCGTATAACTGGACTAAATCGGCAAGTATTGGAAACAAAAGACGCTCAATGGAGCAAAGCAATGTTCGTATTGTCCTTCTGTACCGTTGTCTTGTGCTCGAAGAGGTAATATTACAACTCATAAGAAAAGCTATGATTAATTCGCGGCCTTCAGCCTAGATGCATTGAACATGCTCCCATGTTCAGGCGAAGGAAACATTAAATGCCCACAACCCTCCTCACACAACTTATTGGGGCCTGTGTAACAAGGTTTGTGCAGTTTTGAGTCTTTAGTACGACCTCCCTTGAAGATCATAGGGAGATGCAGACAGCTTTACATCGAAGTTAAGTCAGATTCTATTTCACCTTCTTGATACCACAATTATACGAATAGGCCTCACAATGTCTTTGCATTTCCCTTAGCCCTGCCTTTAAAAGGGTATTCACATTTAGTCTTAAATTCAATCTATTTTTTGATCCACTAAAAAGTCACGGTAGCTCATGGTTCGCAGTGCGAATATGACCACTCCCTAAATTCACATTGTACTTTACGAAGCTGGCATTTGTTGTGCAATAAAATCGTCTAAAATAGGTATTTTCGGCGAGAGCATGCTTCGGAACTGTCGAATTGTGTTAATTTTTAATATTATTCCTGTATACAGTCTAGAAGAAGTCGAATGCGAGAGATGACCTTCCCAACAGATGATACCATGCCACCGGTCACCTCGGACGCAGCATCACTTCCGCCACCTCTCCATCACTGGCAGGCTCCTGTTGCCGTTGGGCCCCTGTCCGACGTGGTATTTCCGCCTGACATGATAGTTGCCAGCAGCACAGGCTCACAAGCAGCCATACTGGCTGCCACCTCGGTTGCCGAGGCAACCAGTCTGCCGCTCAATGTGACCGTTTTCCCAAACGGCTCACTTCACTTGCCTGCCGGCCTAAGTACAAGAGATTTGGTTGGAGACTACCATTGCCTAGCGATTAACCCTGTCGTTCGGCTTATTGCCACCAGTCGGCTGGTTACCGAGCCTCGCGATTCAGTTGCCAGGACCAACGCTGGGGACGAGGCCGAGGTCGCCTGGTTGGGCCGATTTGCCGTGAAGCCGACGGCCTATGCTGTCTGGTTGGCCTGGTCGGGAAGACGGAACGCCGATACACCCCCAGCGGGACAGGAGGGTCAGGCGACTGTGAAGTGGGGCCCAGGAGACGATGGAGGAGGGGAGAATGAGATTGAGGCTGGACGGAGAAATGCTCCAAATGTGACGATGCGTAGCGCCGACAACGTTGCAGCATCCGGCTCCGTGGCCTGTTTTTCAACCATTTACTATCGGCTGCCTCGTGTTTCCATGGCATGGCTCTCTTGTAGGCCTAAATATAAAAAAAGATTTTTTGTTTATAAGTGAGATGTATTCAGCCTATATCGTTTTAAGGTGATTAACCCATTTAAACTAATCTCTGCTATAAAGATTGAGATAGTCGGAATTGCTATGCGCTGTATAAAAGTGGTTTGACCCCATTTTCTCTGCTTGTTCGTATTGTCAGGATAGGCACATGCTATCCAGAGTCTTCTGCCTCAGTGGACTTGGCACAATTCCAAGCGTAGTCTTTTGACACAGTGTAACCTGATGCTAAGCACTGCTGAAGCAGAGGACTTTGGAAAAGCTGCCTTATATCAGATTACCATGACAGCATGTATTAGTTTCCAATATAAA